AGTAGTTTCTCCAAAACCCCCCTGAACTGATCCTCTGTCTGCAGCTCACCATAGCCTTTATCCATCACATATCATCATCACAACACATAACGAGGCACCTCAACTTCATGCCCCGCTCTCACTGTGATAGCACGGCTGGGATCCTGCGCTCAACTTCTCACCGTGCAACTCCTCAACGTGACAGCCGCTGCAACACAACGGAAACTAAGTGATAGGCAGGCAGTGGTGTTACGGTGTAATATTTACCAGCTTGCTGCTACAGTACGGGCGCTGCAGCCATTTATCCCGTAGCGAAAGGGCCAGAAGGAGTCCGCATTTCCTGGATTGCGATGCTGGATAGAGCCGCTCTCCGCGCCTGCGTTTGTGGGGGGGCAGAGCAGGGGGGGCCCGGGGTGATTCCCGCTGCTGTGTCAGACCGGACAGCGATGGCACATTCAGCTGATCGCCACAACAAAACAACATCTCGCCCTACGCGAAACACACTCCGCGGCTCCGCACCACCCCGCACCGCAGGTCCGATGGGTGCCGCCCCCCCTCTCTGCCTCCACCAATCAACAGGCGCGCCGAGCCCGCCTCCTGATTATTATTGAGGAAACGGAGGCAGCCATTGGTTGGAAAGGAGAAGTTCCTGGTTAATGCTTTTAATTCTAATTAGCCACCTCATTCTTTGAACCAGGATTTGGAACTGAATGAGGTAGCACCCTTTGATGTCAGCTGGTTTACTTCAGTTTTTTGTCTGATATTGCAGCAATATCTCATCCACACATAGAATATTTATACCAAATCTTATACATAGATTTGTTGTTTCATTTTTGCACATCACTTCTAAATGGATGCTGACATGGCTCACATCCAACTCCTAAGAATGAATAGTCTTCCCAAAATTGCATAGATGTGCAGACCTTCTTTTTGCACACTACCCGAGCTTAAATGTTTCAAACCTTTTGAACCTGTGTCAGTTTGTCAGTGAATCTGCTTTATATTGTGCTTCCAGCCCTCAAACTGCTCTTCAATGCAACCATCATTGACGAGCTTAGATTAAAGGTAGGGTAGGTACATTTGAGAAACCGGCTCGAGATACACTTTTTGTTATATTCCATGGAATGCTCTTAACATCCCGATAGCAATGAATATCTTAGGTGCTTTGACAAAAAATCCATAAGAAAATGTCATCTGTGGAAGCCGTAATACTGTAAAAAGTACGACCAATCATTTTAGCCGGCCCGGCTAAAATAACTGGATGGCCTACCTGCCTGTCAGCCTTCCATCTGTGCACAAACTTATCTCGTGCCCTCATTGGTCATGTGCGCGTTCGTGTGTGTTGGAGGAGGGGCTCTATAAGGAAGTGGCAGATTTTCAAATTCTAGCGATCTCGAGCCGGTTTCTCAAACTTACCTACCCTACCTAAATATAAAATATTAATTTGAATGCACTAATTTAGATCTCCACTTGTATGTAGGTAGACTACATAAACTCAATACGATCGTACAAATAATCTTTCTGATCATATTTCATGACTCACTTGATGCTTTTCCTTCGCTCTTTGTTGTCACACAAATGTTGGCAACAGCTATCAATATGTGATTTTAAATACAACATCTTCTTTGTAGCATTAATGGTTTAGCCAAATGAGGACTTTCCAACTCTGGAAATGGGACCATTGAGTAGATTTGTTTCATTTTTGCACATCACTTCTAAATGGATGCTGACATGGCATAATAAACAATATAATGGAGGTCAGGACCTGAGGCCACAATCAATTAACTTCCCCTGGATGACTGTATAAACTGTTAAGTGGTCACAGGCACTGTTTGTTTGCACACAGCTCTTAGTGATTTTCCTGCTGATCTGATGACCCTGTCCATCTGACCCATACCTGGGATGAGGCCGATGAGGGTCGGTTTCAGAAAGAATGCAGGCTGTTACTGATGTATCAATTGAAATCAAATTATGCTTTTAAAATCATCATAATATCCTCTCTGCATGTGAGCTTTTATATCTCATATTATTAGAGGTGTGTATGAATCTGCATCCAGCCTAAAGTCTTTGTTCTTGATGTTGAGAGCAGCTCCACAGCAAAGACAAGAGGGAGGGAAAGGAGAGGAGAGGAGAGATGGAAGGGAGGGAAGGTGCGGGAGAGCTTTAAAAAAAAGAAAAGAGGAGAGGTGAAAAAGACAGTGAGAGACAGACAGAGGAAGGAGTGCAGGGACACGCTGTGGTGTGAGCGCTCCGTACTGCTACAATATGACTCTGACGGCTTATGTAACAGGACTGGCCTGGCATTTGGCTCACAGCAGACGCCGGCTGCACTGACTGTTATATAACTGCATTAGCTGGGGAGAGCATGCGCACAGGAGAGCCCCACACACACATGAACACACTCAGATTTCCCGACTTTTAGACTTCCAGCTTAGTGACTTTATTGCACTGCAGCCAGAGAATAAAAGCAATCAAACTAAATTAGAAAAACCCTAAAGGTCCAGTGGAAATGGAGCAATTAATTAGAAACAAGCTGATAAATGAATGCACATTTGACTCCCTAGAGAGACACTACAAAGAGTCTGACAGGCATCAGCATCTTCACTTCCTTTCATTGAGCAACAAGTTTCCCATCCTGAAAAGCCTAATTGGGGTTTAATGTTTGGGAAATGTTTCCAGTGCACATGCCATATGCCAGCAGGGCTCAAATTCAATTAGTTCCCCTGCATGCAGCACATAATTTAATGGGCCTAGGTCCCACTCTTAAAACCCAATTACACCTCAGACAGGCATTTCCAGTCATCTGTCAAAGAGGTGGTCAGGGATGTGCAATCCTCTCATAAAACAATGCTTATACAAATCAGGAGCAGCTGTACTATTCAAGCTTCATTTATTGTTAAAAACACTGAAATAGTGTGATCAGCTTTGTCTCTCACTGGCCTTATTCTTGAGAAGAAGGCAAAAAGCAACTTGACGCTGACATTTCCAGACTGATGTTGGAAAAGTGAAGCACAGATTAAGGTCAGGGATAACACTGCAAGTGATAACCATTGTTTCAGTCAATCTGCAATTAAAAATCCCAGGACGCCAAACCAAGCATAACTGCAGAGCTACAGTAAGTGGTTCATAATCAGCAAATTACAGCCACTGATCTCTTATTACAGCGACAAATTGCATCTGATGATAACAGAGGAAATGAAGGTGGGATTTATGACACTGAAGTCAACGGCCAAAGACGAGTGTTTTAAATCTAGACTAGGAGAAAAAAAATAAGTTCATATTGTACACCTCACGATAACAGGGGAAATAAAAGTGTGATTTATGACACTTAGCTAATTTGTTCTCGGATGCTGTTGGCTGTGTCCAGTGGCTGTTAAATTTCAGATGGGACTAATGGAAGAGTATAGTGCAAAGAGTTCTTTAGTCTCGTGAAACAGACTGGTACTATAAATATATCTAAATCACAGAGAAATAAAAAATAAGAGGTACGTTTACAAGACTGAAGGCAGTTCCTTAAAAAGTAAAGAGTGAGATTGGACTAGCCAATAAAACTCAAACAAGATGAAAGAAAAACAGTTGGTGGAGAGACTGCTACTGTTAGAGAGCGACTGGTTGGTTTGTTTTGGCTCATTTTGTGTAGTCTTTTTTTTATTTATTAAGTTTTCTTAGTTTACTTTTTATTACATTTTGTCACTTGCAGAGAGTGGAGGTTTTTGGCCTCTTGACCTCTAATTTATCTAATTTCTTAATTGTTTATGATTTTGACTTTAAACAGCCTTTTATGTTGAAATAAAATAAAATATTCTAAACATTTGTGCAGTTTGCATGTTCTGCTTTCAAGTGTGGCGCAGGAAAAGTGAGACAGTCAGAGTGTTCAATCAGAAAGACTGAAACTTCTGTTTTGTTTCATGTTCGTTGCTCTAGTTTTTGTAATTCTTTTAGTACATTTATTTTTCTCAGGCAAATGGCAAAACAACCATATAGTTATGTATGTTTACATTTGAGTGCTGTGCTTTTCCTACAGTGTCAGGAAAGCCTTTGTTTCCTCCACTCCATGCAAAGGAAATGAGAATTCATTCTCACAACTAAATTGTGACACAATTCATCAACTCAGGATTGCCATGGATAGGCTGAACGAGGGGTGGTGTTGTGGGCGGGTTGAAAGTCGACAGGAGGTTGTGTGTCCTGAACAGTTCCAGACAGTGCCAACTGGTCTGAGAGACGGTAGCGTCCAAAACCAACAGGCCTCGTCTGCCAGCGAGGCGAGAAGGAAATATCACAGCAGTGGCTGAAAGATCTGGCACACGAATCTCTGTCTCCGTGACAAAACAAGGGACACGTCAGACACTGCTTCGGTTTATAGTAGAGTAAAAGGGGCAAAAATCTGGTCAGAGCTATATTTATTTATTTATTATTATTATTAAGTCTTTCAATATAACTTTGGACCTCTGTGACAGGAAGCCAACAGCAAGAACAAATCAGTAAAGGGTCAAGACAGATGTGAGAGAGAAACGGTATTAATGTTTAATGAGGCTAACAGGGAAACACAGCAGAGATTAAAGGCCAAACAGTAAGACTATCCGTCCAATGTAAAGCGCTGGTAGTGAAGTCATGTGTCAAGCGATGGCTTGTTTCGGAGCTTCATCTACACATGATGCCTCACCCAGAGTACAGAACAAGATGGGGTACAAAACCATCAGTCCCAAACTCTGGTACCCCATGACCTGGATCTATGGGCCGATGTACAGAAAGGAATCGGATTGTATGCACCCTGGCAACACATTAGAGACGGGGAGGTGTCACATCGATGAGGCAACTAAATCCCTCTAAACCTTAACATATTGTTGACCTCAATGCTAATTATTGTACCCCAGTAATTCATTTTTAATTCAATGTTTTGTTGTTTTTAAACTTGCATCCTTGTAGCGAACAGTGAGGACCATTCAACTTTTTTCATGGGACACAACTGTAAGGCTAATATTGAGGTTCCATTCAGACAAAGAAAGTGAAAGATTTCTATCTTCATTAAAAACAAATGTTTATTCATTGATTAGAATATTAATTCATGTCATAGGCCGATCCCTTATTGGCATGCAATGACTGACTCACCACAATGTAAGGCAAGGCGTTATAGGTACACGTCAGCATTAGTGTTACATTCCTTTTGAGCCGCAGGACTACAGAAAGGCACTTTGTAGTGTTTCAAAATGGTACATGTCGCAATATAACACTGTAGCAATACTATTTGGGATATTGTGCCTAAATATTCACCCAAGTAGGGGGATAATGATGAAATGTACAATACAATTAACATGTTCAATAAAGAAATTAATTTAAAAAGATTTGAATGTATCACAGCACTTTGAAAAACTCCATTCACAATACTCATATGCAGCCAGAGAAAAGGAACATCTGATATGAGTGGGCATTTTTGAAAATAGCACAACATAACATTTTAACATAACATTTTCAGGATGGTACCCAAGACTTTTTGTACAAAATATACAGCTCTTTTTTCACCCTGTTTCATTCTTATTGAAATTGAGGTAACTACAACATTAAGCATTTAGTTATTGTACCACCATCACAACCGTTAACATACCGTAACATTTTACAGCAATGAAAATTACAAATGTGTTGTAATTCCATTGTAAACTACAACGGAAAATCTTTTTTTTTGACTTAACTCAATAACACACTTTGCAACATTCTTGAAATAATGACATTTGTGAGAGCACTGCAGAGTTCACACCATCACCTGCTGAACCGTACCGCTGCACATCGCATAGTGCTGACTGCTATAGATCAATCGATGTCTCCCTTCTGCAAACACGCTGCTATACAGGTGCAGAGCGTTGCCCGTGGCAGTACAAGGCTGAACACAGTCAGACAAGGGAAAGGCCTAGCACCGGAGATAAGTGATCCTATGTTGGAGCAGAAAAGGAAGAGCTGAGATTACACTGGTGGTCTATTAAGACTCCCCGGCTCAAGGTGGTATGACATGGATTTGCATCCAGAGAGCAGCAAGAGGGAAGCCCTGTTATGATGTGAAGGGCGTGTCGTATTAGTCTTATCTAACTCTCACACTCCACTCACTCTGGGGCTCCGGAGAGGGGTTCCCCTGGTTGCCCCAGCATGAAAGAAGTCAAGCTAATCAAGGACACCAGACCTGGCCAATCAGAGAACTCAAAGGCCCTTTAAAAGGTAATCTGTTAGTGAAGTGTCTGAGGTAACGAGTAAGTGCCTTGTTGTTGTGATAGTTCAGACTACATCCAGCAGAAGGTAGGGCGGGTAGGGAGTAGGTCATTAAAGGTAAGTAATTGGCAAAAGAAAAAATAAAGTTCTAGCCAAAACTTCAGGCTAACTAAACATCCACTTACAAATATCAAATAACTGTAGGGATTGTCCCACTAAATAATCATATTGAGTGAAGTAAAACAACACAAGCATAAGAACACCAAAGGCAATTAATTACAAAAAAAAATAAAAGCATTTCTTTTATACTATTCTTTCTATTTCCTTCAGAGCATCCTTCATATCGCCTAAATCACTTGCCAAGAAAACATAACAACCAAATACAGCTGAAGGACCAGGTGATCAGTTGAAGTCCCTGTCAGGGAAGATGAGAGGGGCGATGAGGGTCCAGAGGTAGAGCCCCAGGCCCAGCCAGCTGGAGGACATCTTCACCCAAACAGCCGGCATGCGGCTCTGCATGGCATGCGTGGTGGTATCCGGTCTGAGGAGGACCGAGGGAACATTTAGTCAAACCAACTCAACAACATGTATGTACTGAAATGTATTTAAATACATGTATTAACATTTTTCAGATGGGGCCTATGTATATATTTATTTTATATATTTTTAAATATTTTTTATTCTCTGGGATAGTGAGAAACAGAATTTCGACCCCCCTGTCTGTATAACACAAATAAAGGAATTAACAATAACATTGAATTTTGACTTTGAATGATCAAAAACAGCACTTTATTGGACATTTTTTATACTTTTTTCCTAAATTGAGCTGATTTCAGAAAATCACATTCAAGCTGAGTTGAAGGGATAGATTACTTTCAGGTGAAGCAATGTGCCCTCTGGTGGCCGTGCTGGAGGCCTACAATGCATGAGTAACAACTTCTGAGCATCAAACCTGTGGCTCACAACTTAAAAAGTTATTTCAAATGCTGCCAATTTTGGAAGTAAAATTATTTTTGCTTTTTGTATCTCTTACATATGCTGTAGCTATCAATATGTTTATGTTTTTTTTCCCCAGTAAGAATTCGGTAACAAAATCAAACCAAAATCGTATCTGTTGATCACCAGTGACCCTAGACCTTTTGACTTGAAATCAAGCATAGAAATCACAGGTTAAAATAATGTTGTCAAAGATGGTTTAGCTCCATTAGGTGTCCCTGTAAACCATGATAGTGATAGCAGCATGCACAGTACCAGGACCCTAAAACTACCATAATTAAGAGGAATGCAACTTTCCTGCTGTTACATGCCAAAATGTCTGAAGGACAGGAGGATTCTTCTCTTTCCTACTTGCCTCTTATGTAGTATTTAACAATCGGCAAGTGAGACATACTTACTGTAACCAGTTGGTGAGAGTCATCATGATGTACAGAGAGGCCAGGCAGAGGTGGAAATGGAAAAAGGAGTAGCTGTAGGAGACATTCTCCTCCTCATCGTCCATGGCCCTGAGTATGCCGTCCTCTCCCACCACACCCTCTCCCCCAAACCCCTTACCCTCCTCCGTCTGCATCAGCTTGTTCACCTGGGTGTTACTGGATGACCGAATACTAGGGAAGAGAAGGAGACAGAGAGTTTTAAATAAAATATAATGCAAAACTGAATATAAAATCTAATCTGTGATGGTTTTGACCATACCTTGCATAGAGAGTGCAGAAGAGGAAGATGATCAGACCCACAATGCCCTGAGCATCCCACCACTGCACCTGTCCTGGGTCAGCGGAGGGCTCCGTGGAGCTGACGTTCGACACCAGACTCAACAGGCTGGGGTTACAATTCCGATCTAAGGCATCAGAGCACATGTGAATTAGACATTAAATACACTATAAGTTATAAGTTATTAAAAATACATCATTACATACAGTAGTGAGCTTGTCTGCACTAAACATAATCTTGTGTTGACTGTAATGGAAGTGAACATGTGTTATTTCATATGTAAATAACTGAAGTTTTGACACTGAAGAGGCCCGAACAGCTAGTGATTTGAGATGTGGAAATATTTGTATAACCTAGTTTACATAATTTTCCATTCTTACATTCCTGTCTCTTACTTTGACATGACTATGAAAACCATTGTTTTCCTCTACACAGGGAACTTCTAAAAGTCTTTGAAAATAGCTTTCTTTAAATGTAACAATCAACAATGGAACACCAGCACAATCCCAACAGTGCTATCGTATGTTGAAGTGTTCTATGTTTTTAATTAGTCTGTTTCCTGATGTAAAATAAGCATCTGTTCCCAGACACCGCTTTCACTTTTGTGTCTGAATGGATTTAAATGTCCTATGTGTAGATAAAATAACCCCTAGTTTCACCACAATCTTGCCCATTGCTGCCATTCACTTAGGAATGGCAGATAAAATGAGACAAGGAAAGAACGCTAGCTATCAGCAAAAACAAGCCCTTTGTTCCTTGTTTTTTGTTATAAAATGCCATAGAAAACTCAACAGAATGATCAAAATGCTGCAGCAGGTAATCAGCAAATACATATTTTGACAGAAAACAGTAAGTAGGATTGAAACTGAGGATGCAACCAGAAGCAACCGAAAAGAGCTGCAACTGTGGACTAAGACAGCAAGGCACTTACTCGGATTGTTTGTCATTGCAGACCAAGTGACATACATGGTGTACAGGGAGATGAGAGAAGCCTGGAGCAAACCGGAGTGTGGCTGCGCTTCCTGTTACAACAAGAACAAACATACATTAAGTCACTTTGCCAAAATGTTACAACCACTGCCTTGAAACAAACGGTAAAGTATTTCTATTTCTATCAAAAAGTCAACTGAAACTTAAATGAAATATCTCAGATTATCCATAAAGATGTTGAAGTACATCTCTTTTCATGTTACGTTATACTCTTTAGTATCTACAGTATGCATTCCCTTATTGTGAAGCACTTTGAGCTGCATCTTTTTGTATGAAAGAGGCTTAACAAATAAAATGTATTATTTATTATTATTATAACTTTTGGAAACTGCACCTAACACTAACTTAAGAGCAAAACTAAACTATCCTCATTTATCTACTGCAGAAAGGCTTTTAAACAAATGAAGTTTAAAATTAGATGAGAAGTTATTCATAATATACCTTGATTAATTTGAATTAGGCCATAGACTGAGCCTTACCTGTATCTTGGGAAGGATGGAGACAACGGAGATGATGATGCAGAAGATGAGGTTGAGGCTGATGAAGACTTTGTGCTCAGTGCAGTCATCAGGCTGTGTGTAGTAAACGTAGAAGAGCACCACAGCAGTGATAGCCAGTGCAAAGTGGAGGAAGGTGAAAGACATCAGGCCTGGGAATGACAAGAACATACCTCAACACGAATGGCTTCAAATATTATGGCAAGTGTATATTTATTATTTTGCATAATGTAGAATGACATAGCAAGAAGCCCCTGTTTCAAGTGAGTGCTGTACCTGCAAACCAGCATTTGTTGTCACTATTTTCAGCATTTTCTACCCACCCCTTGTTCCAGGAGTGGGCAAAATCAATGAGAAGAATAAGTTGGATTAGAATGAAGATGAAGGATCCCACCACTCCAAAGTAAAACCACACTGTGAAGAGGAAATCAAACACAGCTTATAACGTTTCCTAAAACTGTTGATCAGAAATAAACATATCACTGTTTATAGTAATAATACAAAGCATGTTAGTACCAGTGTGAAAGGTTCCGTCAGGGATGAAGAAAGCTCCCACTGTTATTCCAATCAGGATCAGAAATTTAAAGAACCAAAACCTGGGAAATAGACATTAACAAACCCACCATCAGTTCAGTAGACAGACTGAAGCGGCACATCCCATTACACATATATTCCATACAGCCTAATAAAGCACTTACCCATTCTGAAGAGCTGCACGTGGGTCTTTGCTACTACGGACACGAATCATGAGGGCGGCGAACAGAAAGAAGAAGCAAGTCATGGCAAAGCACATGCGGTACACAGACTTGTAGCCCACAATGACATCACAGTTAACGTGGTTTTCTAAACCAGGTATAGTACTTCCTCCCTCGCAAAATCCTGGGATCTAAAGAACCGCAAGACAAATGTGTGTTAATAAGTGTATACAGAAAAGATTAAGTGTAGAGAATGTGCAAACGTTTTTTACAGAACTTTATCTGTAGTAACAGCATTTAGTAACACATTTCAGAGGAAGAGCGATCTTACTTTACGGAGCTGTGTCTCCATTCCTGGAAGGATCATGATGACAGACACCATGGTCCCCAGCAGCAAAAAGAAGGAGAAAACCAGCCGTGTGATGGTGGAGTTATTGGAGGAGGGACAGCAGCCGCACAGAAGGCATGGTGCTGAGCCACACAGACAGGACGCCTGGGAATGATAGAGATGATGAGTGGGAGGGAGAAAAGACAGAGTTCGAGCCACTTAAAAATCAGAAACAGTCAAATGAATGCAGGCAACTTCTTTGGCAGAATGCCATTTGTAATTAGATGTTGTTCCATTAGCAATCCGGCTAGTAAATGATTAACCATGAGGTTGAATTTGCAATAATGGATTCAAGTGGATAAGCCTTTACTCCACACATAAAACTTAAATAGCCGTTGAAGTCAAAACAAATTGGGCAAAACACTTATGTTATTCCAGTTCGCAAAGAAAATGTAACAAGGGCTGTACTTCCACCTGGCTTTTGAGAAATCAACACAGAGAAAAACAAACGTGCATCTCTTTTGTTGACATTGACAGTGACGTAGCTAGCCAATTTTAACTGCATGGAGTAACAGTAATGTTTTATCGGCCAGACAGCTGTTATCCTAGAATGGAGCTAGCAGAAGCATACCACTTTGAACTAACGGTGTTTGCATATGATGAGTCGATATTTGGCTGAGGCTACATTATCCAACATTAGCTAGGTGCAATGGTTCTAGGATATAGCAAGTGGCCTGTTCTGACACTTCCTGGATCACTATTCACACTGCTGATTCACTATATTGCTAAGACAACTTCCTTTAAATGTACAGCGTTAATTATAGTATGTCGAGTACGGCTCGTTCTAGTCGGTTTAGTTTAATGTTGAAGGTAACGTAAGTTGTCGCTTAATGTAACATTAACGTTAGCTATGCATTGCCCAGCTAAGCTTAGTTTAGCTCACCTAAGGTTGTTTGGACGACGAGAGCGAGCTTTGCCTACCGATAAAATCATAACGAAATAAATACTTACACAGCTGGCTAAAGAACATAATGCCATACAAGCCCCCATTTTCACATTAAATTCCTGATATGATAGTGTACTATCGACTGGAAGCTTTCGCCTGCCTGGAGAAAACAAACAGTCGGAAGTTACTCGCTTTTCAAAATAAGAGTCTCACGATTACCTCAAATGACACCCCTTTCAACATAAAATACCTCAAATGTTGGATACTGGCCCCACCAAGGCATGTGACTGTGTGAGATACATTTATACTGCAGTTTTAGATATCATGACACATGTTTGTGTTGTTAATTTGTTGTATCATGGTTTTTATTTCCAACATAACACATCGTGGTTCGTGTGTATATGTGTAAGTTGTGTCTGCAGGGTACAGTGAACAGGAAACTAACTGTGGGGACTTTGACATCAACCATCTGTCCTTTCGCTCAGTATCCCAGGAGCTGAGTGTCTGTTTAACTACAAGGATATCAAGAAAGAGCCTGTCAAGTGCTGAAAGAAGCCTCTTCAAAGCCCCTGCTGTTGGTAGTGCACTAGCTCAGTGGGGAGCCAACAGTGATTGTGTTATTAATAGACTATCTAACAAGGAACATGGAATATGTCAGTGCCAGATACTAAATCCATTCTTTAGCGAGGATTGAGAGTAGGCTTAGTAAAATCATTCTCCTCTTGGACAAGGAAAAAATATATATTTTTGTAAATTAAAACATCTGCAGAGAATATTAACAGGGGTCACATTGCCTTGAGGAGATCCAAAAGATAGGTATGTACTGTAGATGGTTATGCAAAGAACATAATAATCAATAGTAAATACAAATTATACAATAAAATAAAAAGACAGTACTTTTTCAAGGCTGATAAACAAGCCTTACACATATAACCATTTCAAACATATTCATGTACAATAGCAATAGGGACCATGTTCGGACACAAACATAACATATACTATCCCAGCATAACACCACCTATTATTCCACCAGCAGCTGCAGCCACACATAAACTGTCAGATCATTGGTGAGTGGTTTATGACTTATTCTTACCACTAGAGGGTATGCTGATTCCACAGAAGTGTCTGTCTGGTGGCTATATAAAAGGCAGTTCAAATAAAGTAAGATCCCCTTCAGTGTCAAGCAATCTGTGCCATTGTAATCTATTGGTGTAGGATGATTTCTTTTGCAGAACAGAGATGAATATTTGGACAATGTCTGTCAATGAATATATTGTATTTTGTTGAAATCTACTAGGATTATTACCTGTAGTGGGAAATTGTGTGTCATGTTCAATTTAAGTAAAAGTAGCAATGGTGAATTATAAAAAAGTAAAAGTCCTCTATTCAAAAATCTTTCTTGAGTAAAATTACAAAAGTATTAGCTCCGAATGATACTTAATCCTAAAAAGTAAAAATACTTGTTGTGCTCTATGGCCCATTTCAAAACATATATAAAAAATATATGAATATTCTTGATTATTATTTTGTATGCATTAATGTTTCTGCAACTTTTACAAGTGGAGCAACTTTTTTTAACTTTGTATACTGCTGCTGGATATCTGAACCTGTAATTATATGTTAATGTCAAATATGTCAATTGTTCCCAAGTACAGTTATTGAGTAAATGTACTTGCACCACTGGTTAAACACAGGTGACATTTGATGTTCAATATAATACATTTGTGTTAGTACACCCACAACAAAATAAAGACTATCGAAGAGACCAATACTGGCCATTGAGGAGGACGAAAAGGAGGAAGAAGAGGAGGACTCTTCAAATGGTGGATTCAGAAAAGCTGGAACTGACCTACGACCCTGCAGAGTTGACCGCTGCTTCAACAGAGTCAACAAGCCATGAGTTACTCAAATATCCCTACTACACTGCAAAGAAACCTACATTCATGGAGGTTATAATGTTCTGTTACTGTTTGAACTTTATTTTAGAGAGGTGTTGATTCAACTGTATGATCACTTTGGAGGATGTCGTTTTCGGTGATGTAGAACTGTATTGCATTGCGCTGACCACAGTGTTTCTGTTATTTTAGCCACTTGATCAATCGATAGATAGATGGATCAAATTGCAAAATGGCTCATAACCTTTTTTGTGTTACAGTGGTGAAGCATCCAGTCCCCCATAGATTTAAGAAAATCATAGTATATGAGACCTGCATTATGGAGCTGTTTGTCTTGTGTGCAAGTGGGCCTGTGATGTTAAGACCCAAAGGATTGGTACATTCCTTTCAGTGGAACAGCTTTGCACCTATTGTCAGTACTCCCGGCACTGGAATAGCCAACCTGTTCTTGTTCAAATCAAATTATTGAAAATTCTACTACATAAACCTTCCTTTTAATTTGAAATATATCTTCAAAGCCATGCAGTTGCAGATGTTTCAATATGACACCATACGATAGACCACAAGACCAACACGTTTTTTTATTCATATATGTATATATATGTAGATATACATTTATATACATTTTATGTTTGTACAGAGAAATTAGGTTGGTGGAGAATTTACACATCAGAAAAGAAGATCTAAAGAGGAGCCTGCCATAATAGGAGGCACGTGGTGTGACTCTGGACTGCTATTATTTACATTCATGATTTTCTCCTGTGTTTTTACTTTAAGACTCTACCTGCCATATACTACAACGAACATGCTGACATGAAGGCAGGAGTTGGAGCCGAGCCAATGAAGACGGTGCCAACTTTCCGTAAATGTTATATTGCTTTAGTTTCCATACACATGTGTAATAATAATAATAATGTATTGTCCATGTTGTATTTACTATGGCACCACAGTTTTGAAATCCCAGCCAATAAGTATAAACGAAAGAAAAAAACACTCGACTAAGCCTCAAATCTCATTATAAGAACATTTGAAACAGACTTCAAGTCTTTGTCTTGTTCCCCAAACTAGAAAAAGCCAAATTAAGTTTTTGTGAATATTGCACAGGGTATGAAAAGGACCTAATGGACCTCATCTTTGAGAAACTCTTTGTGGACCCGGCACCATACCTGGATGATGTTTTGAAGATCCCCATTCCAGAGGGACAGTGCATAAAATGAGCAGCAGGACAAGCAGTGGGGCAAGGTCAGTTTCACAGTTCAATGTGTCACGATCTGTCTGTGTTTTATTTTGTATTGGTTGTCTTTGTTTTCCCGTTTTATTCTGAAAGGTGTGCACCCCCCTAGTCTGCTCTTACTTCCTGTCTCAGTGTTTTCCTCCTGTTTGATTGCCTGATTGTGTTCACCTGGTGCTCCTGTGTTTTTTCTCCCTCCCCACCTTTGTCTTGTCTTGTCTTGGTGATCACTCTTGCTGGTATTTCAGTTCTGTTCGTCTTTCAGTTGGTAGATCCTTGTCAATGTTGAATGTGTTCACTAGGGAGAGAGTTCTGGTCTATATGTAAATACTCTTTAGCCTTGAAATAAAGGTACTTTCAGTTAAACCCTGTATGGGCTCCTGCATTTGGGTCCTGCCTGCTTCGCTCACCCTGACGGGCCGTCTCCACGGCAGCGTTAAAAAATCTTGAAACGCTTCTGCCCATTCACTTTGAATGGGGTGACGTCACTTTTTTTCGCTTTCGCCGAAATGCATTGTGGGCAGGCGAGCGGAGATTCTCAGGATTTTCAAGATCCAAAGTTGAACAATGTTCAACTTTTGAAGCTGAGGAGGAAGCGTCAGCCAATCAAATCCCGTGTACGCAAATCTGACAGTTCAAGCTCTAGCCAATCAAACGGCGTGTATGCTGGGAGAGACATACCGCAGATCATTTCCTCATATTCCAAAAAATGGAGGAGAAATTAGCGGTAGCGAATCAATCACCCGGTGCTTTATGACCAGACCTACCGGGATATAAACCGGAGGAGCCAGGCATGGAGGGAGGTGGCAGAGACAGTGGTAGGTTTTCGCCTGTTTTGGGGAGTTTATATCCAGTTTACTTCGGGCTTTTTGGCTTCGTATGTCGCGGGCGGGAGATTCATGTGATTGGTTGCTCGCAAAAAATCCTCAAGCTTCAGATACGCCCACCTCCAAGATTTTTTTAACGCTGCCGTGGAGACGGCCCGTTAGTCCTGACCCTAGCTGCCTTTGGCGTCAGGAAGCACAAGGCCACAAGGCTTTGCTGGCTCAATACCTGAAGAGCAGTGGCGGACTGGCCATCGGGACGAATCCCGATGGGCCGGTACCGGAGTGGGCCGGTCGGATAAGTCACTAGCACCCCCCCCCCATTGACAATTTACTAGCGGTACTGAAGTGGTCCGGTCGAGATGCCCGGGCTGATTTTCAGTCCCAGTCCGCCCCTGCTGAAGAGTCAATCGCTAAGGTTGTGTAAACATACTGTATATCTACGGTGTCTCAAAACAACCTTTTAGTTAGTTAATCACATTAAAGTAATGTAGAGCATTCTGAAAACATTAAATATTTATTTTCATGTACAGCATTACTTGTAATTTACAGTTTAATCTCAATGTATTTTCCTTTTGAAGTTTAACATTTTTCACACTTTAATAAAAATATTGAATGGAGCTAAATGTATATTAATGGATAGGCCTACTGTAGGCTATTGTTAATAAACCCACACAAATAAACAACAATCAAGCTCCATTTGAACTATTATTTACCAGCCAGGTTCAGTGTAACATTTGCAAGTGCATAATCTCCCATTACGTATATTGTGGATGATTTAATCGAGAGTTACATAATATTAGGTAAAGCATGGATTTGTGAGGCTTGTTTTGCTCAGGCAGCCATGAGGTTGTGCCATGGATGTATAATAAGAGGGTTGTGCCAGATTTATGTCTGTTTTTTTCCGCCCGCTTAGAGTAACAACACCTCCTATGATTGGTGGATTTGGACCAATGAATGCAAACCTCGCTGGTGACGGTTAGGGCCTGGAGGTTTTCGCGCGAAAACGGGCTGTAGATGGCGGTCTGAACGTCTCACAGAGAAGAAGAAGGTCAGCTCTTCAGCTGAAGCACAGCACTTGACGGTGAGAACAATGCTTTTATGCTAATGTTTAATCAGGCTTTCAGACCATTCAAACATTGTATTGGTAAAGTTAAAGGTCAGTGTGGCCACTGAGCATCGTTATGAAGTCTGTTCAGCATCACATAAGTCAACTGTAACGTTAATTAACG